ATTAAAAAATGACATCAGGCACAGAGACATGTTGCCATTTGTGAACACTTACCAAAGCTGCTTTTGTTGATGCATTTAAAGCTTTTAACTGAAGTAGCTGATTTTTCCATTGTAGTGCTAACTTTTGGACAGCATCTATCTGAAAAGGGGTAAATAAAAGCATGGTTTTATTACTGAAGACTTAAAAACAAAAGAGTAATCTGGCAACTGAGGGGAAAAAAGACATCTAGAATTAGAAAAGCAATTTCATTAATCCAATAAGATATTTTTTTTTCCTGAAACTTCAATGTGAGGAGCTGATGTCTTTAACAGAGAATTCCTTTAAACTCTCTTGCTACTATCCTTAAATCAACCCTTTTACTTTACACAGGAGTAACATTCAAACAAATTCTGGGACTTTTCAAATCCAAGTTCTATTTTTTCTCAATTAAATGCTGGGGACAAAAATTACACAAATAAGACATGTAAGTCTATATGAGAACAGAGTCTTCAGTCTGGCCTTTCCACTTATGCATTCACTCTCTAAGCTGAAGTCCCAAGATTCACCTTAGCTTCTTCCTTATTTTCAGAAAAAAATATGCCCACTTTCAAAACACTGTAATTCAGAACAATTCCATTGTATTATCCTAAAATAGTTACTTTTGATGAAATTAACTTCCTTAATTTAAATCAACCCCCTTAGTGTGATCCCTCAGATAACTGCACAGAAGAGTTCAGCAATGAATGGTATCTGTATCTTGATAACCGTGATTTAGTATTAAGCAAAAACCTAAAAAGTCTTCAAATAATCTTTCAGGAATTTCAAACCTGAACTTCCTACTTTATACTTAAGTTTAGCAACAACTATTTTGATGCCTGGCCTAAATGAATTTTCCCTAAAACATAAGCAAGTAAAACAGCTAGTGTCACAAATGCCTGCAAAAATTGAATGAGTAATCTTTTTGCAGACAAATGTCTTCATTTTTCACGAGTCTTACACCACAAACATCAATAATTCTTTTGTGTTTAGTCACATGCTGGAAGATCATGTTGCTTGGTATCTGCTCCTATACAACAAACTGGAAAATTCAGATTTGTACCCAGTTTAATAATAGAAACACGGAAAAGACATGCTGTACTTAAACATCTTGTAAGAGAACTGTATCACATAGCTATAATCTATACACTGAGAATTAGAAAAACGTGCATTTACTGCTTTGATGAGATCACTATTTATTTATTTATTTATTTAAATAGCCATGTAGAGCATATTGTTTATTATTTGTTATTTATTATTATTTTAGTTTATTATTTTAATTGAAGTTTAAAAAATTATATGTCTCCTGTCTCTAAAAATGCAATTCTGGTAAATTTAAACCTATGAAGCAAGAGTGGTGACAAGAGCAATTCCTTCTGTAACACAGAACCAAGAAGAGGAAAAGAAGTTTGAATTAATTTGTACTTGCATCTATCCAACAGCCTAATTTCTTTCCTGGCACAACACTAAACTCTGTTAGCTTCCCTGGTATTGACAGAACTACAAGGAAGGAATGATATGTACACACTGAGAGATGTTTAATATAAAAACATATGCCTTACTTCCAAATGATTATATACATATCTGATTCTAGAAAATAAGTATCTGCTATTTTCATCATTAATCCCTGCAACAAAGGTATTTAAAAGAACAAGGTCAAATTCTATTTAAAGCACCAAATAACAACCTATAGCAATCAAACCGACTAATAGTGTATAAGGCATTAAACTTGTGAGACAGGATTCAAGTAACTTCTACAAATAATACACAGGAGCAGGGACAAGATTAAGTCAAGGAGTGTCTAGCAGCTGTTTTTGCATTCGCTTTGATGCACAGGAATTGAAAAATATTTTGGCATTCTGGTCATTTCCTAGAGCTGGGAGATAAATGAATCAAGAGTTGCCACCTGAATAACAGTAACAAGTCCTGTGCCAAGTGTCCTCACCAGCCAACATTTTTAAAATACTTACATAATTCCCAACGATATTGTTTGCTCTGCTGTCATAGTACTCCAGACGCAGCTCTTCTGGCGAGACATCTGAAAAGCCTGCAAGGACAAGGACAGGAAGAGTCAAAAACCTCCAAGAAAACAGATTGATACTTCCAACTGCCCTCTACAGTTATAAAGACATGGACCTTGATACAATGTCTCTCTTAAGAGAGCTATAGTCAGAGACAAGAAAAAAACGATTCATTACAGAGTGTCAGAGGTGTGAATGTCCAAACTGAATTTGCTATCAACTAATATTCCTGTCTGCTGTATCACAAGGCAAACCATCACCTTGTAAATGGCTGCTCAGAGGTACAACAGTGTGGCAAGTCACAGAAACATCCTAAACAGCAAGCAGCAATACACAACACTGAAAACATTACCCACCTGAGACATTTGGCTTTTCTTTCATTGGTGAGTAACATGAAAATATCCATTGTCCAGAAGATTCCCAAATTTCCATGTCTTTCACTACACATTCACTAACAAACAAAACAAAATCACAGATGAAGGTGAAATTGCATGGTCAAACAAACAATGCCAGTAACAACCAATTCAAACAATTGGTTTGAATCCAAATTCAGAGTCAAAAACTTGCTACCATGAAAACCAAGCTTTTTCTTAATATAATCTTTAACAAAGTAATGGAAAGTGTTTCCAAAACTTTGCTTCTTTTGGAAATCACAGTGCTGCCTCTCAGTACCTACCCTGCAGGTGCTGGTCACTTGTAACTGACTGTAACATACACCTCTGTGAAACCAATAGTTTTGTTGTTGACAGAAAGATTCATTGTCTTAAGTGACAAAAAAACAAGTAGAATAATTCATTTCCTTAAAGGGGCTCTGATTTCTTCTTTTCAAGCACAGAAATCTGTTTCTTTCCTTATTCTCCTGATCACAACTTAAATAACACACCATCTTACTAATATCACAGTTGACTGTCTGCCCAGCCCAGGTCCCAAACAAGGATCACTTCCTCCCCATGCCAGCATCATTCCAGAGAACCAAATGAAGTGATGTTCTCTATGTTTCTTCCCTTGTTCAGCTTTCTCCTCACGACCCTGTCCTCTGCATTAACCCTAGGAAGTCAGTGAGTTTTCAACCTGCTCATTCTAAATGCCCCCAGTAAGACAGGACAGTAACTTACAGAATTCTGTCCTCTTCATCTTTAGAGCCATCAGCAACACTCTGACTGTGGGCTAAGGCAGAGAACCTGTTCTGTGAAAAGTCTGCATTTCTGCTGCTGCCGCCTGACGATCCAAAGTCAGAGGAGCCAAAGAATCCTCTTCCATGATCTCTGCTGCCACCCCATGTATCAGACTTGAAGGAAGATGGCTGGATAACATTACTGTATCTCTGGTTAGAGGTACCCCATCCTCCTCCTCCTCCTCCTCTTCCACTAGTAACTGCCAATTAAAACAAACAAACAAAAAAGCAAAAAACAGACATTTTAAATAATTAAGATATGAATCAACAGCAGCAAAAACTGTAAGTCTCACAGTGGCAATAAAAAGTTTGAAATTAAAACATAATTTTTTCCTAATAAGTTAACCTCATTATTAAGTTAGCTTAACTAGTGAGTTACCCAGTGTAGTTCTCAAGTCCTACTTCTCAAATGGAACAGTTTGGGTTGGAAGGCTCCTTTAAAAGTCATCTAGTTTGATCTCCCCTGTGCCTTAATGAGCCTTCAACTACATCACCGTGCCAACAACAACTCGGGGCACTGCAGAAAGACACTGGCTCAGTTTTGCTTAGGTTGTTTCATGAAGTAACTACCCCAGCAGAAAAAGATTAAATTGAATGCATCACAAGTTTGTTAGGGGCTCCTGCCTCCATAGCTACAGCAGGGGCTCTGGTCCGGCACAGGGAGCTCCTGAGTTTCATTTCGAGACCTCGGACACACCTGTGTGTGTTGTTACAGGCAAACCCCGACCCTTCCAGCAGGAATAAGGACAAGTGAGTTCCTGCCATGCCATCACTGCAGCCTTCAGCTCTCTATCGTGCCCCTTTCTTTCCGAAAGTTCCCAAACACCCAGAGCAGATGAGAATGGAAACAGCCTTCACTGGGTACAACACACAGCCGCTGGAAACGTGCTCGCTGCTCATGAGAACAGTTTTCCAAGTCGTCTTCCCACTGCCTTGAGGCACACCCCACAGTGACAGAATCACAAGATCAATTGTGATCACAGTGACTGCAGCGCCTCCCAGGGCATTCCATTCCAATGTTCCGCCACCGCTCCTGTGAATGCCCAACCCGAACCTCCCGTGCCGCAGCCGCAGGCTGTGTCTCCTGGTTGCCTGGGAGAAGAGACCGAGCTCCCCGCGGCCACAGCCTCCCCTAAGGCACTTGTAGAAGCGACAAGCCGCCCCCGAGTCTCCTTTCCTCCAGGCTAAACACCCCCAGCCGCTCCTCACAGGACCTGTGCTCCAGACCCTCCGTCAGAGGCTGCTGCCGACACCCGCCCGGCCCGCTCTGCCTCGGAGCTCCCGCCGGCAGCGGCCGCACGGAGCGCCCGGCGACGGGCAGATTCGCCTTTGGTCCGCCCTCCCGCCCCGTTCCGGCGCGGTTACCGTGGGCCGGGGGCGGCCCGGGGCGGCCCGCGGCGCCGCGGGGGTGCTCGTTCCAGCAGCGCTCGCCGAAGCGGCAGTAGCCCCGCAGGAAGAACTGGCAGACGCCCATGGCCGCCCCGCCGTCGCGCGGCTCTGACGCGCCGGGCGCGCGCCGGGCGGGCCGTGCTGGGCTCAGCCCCCGGGCGGGCCCGCGGGGGCCGGGAGGCGGGAATAGGCCGGGAATGCATCCGGTCAGAGCTAGGGATAGCGCCGTAACGAGCTGCTGATAAAGGCAAATACGGATTTGGTTTGTGCTGTGCAGACCTGCAGTCACGGACACAGTCACATAGCCGCCCCTCTCTCACAGAAGCTCTTCTCCGCGCAGCCTGCGCGGTACAACGTTTGTGTGCTGTGTCTTTACGGGGGGATGTGTAAGGGATGTATAGCCCGTGGCTACAGAATCAACAGGGTCCGAAGAGACCTTTAGGATCATCCAGTCCAGCAACCCATCCCTACCACTGTAGTACACTAAACCACATCACCCAGCAGATCACAGCGCCTCTTAAACATCCCCAGGGATGGTGATGTTGTCTGCAAAAATTGGATTAATTACACAGTGATAAGCCAATAATTACACATTTGAAAGACTGTTTATTTCACAGTTGCACCAGCCCGCGTGCTAGATGGTATTCCACAAATCAAGCACACCAGCTATCAAAACTTTCTGCTATTTATATATTTTAGCAAACAAAGCAATTAGCATTCATCAGCTACAAGTTACACAGCTCTCTTACTAATTTATATTCTATCTTGTATTGATTAATTATTCACTCACTTCTCATGTCAATTAGTCCGCATGCTCAGTCTTTGTCTTCTTGTGGGCCCATGGGTTTCTTGGGTTGGTGGTCCACGAGCCGGTGGTCACAGATCCCCCTGCTGGAATTACCCTTTACCCAGTCAGAGCTGGTTTCAGCACAGTTGCTGAGTTGTTTTTATTATTTTCTTCCTTATCTTGGAGGTTCTGACAAATATTCTTGTGGTGTGTAAATTCTGCATTCTTTGTGTCCTAGCACTATCAGTGCTACATCCTTCTTCCCAAGCTTTGTTATCCTCACCCAGGTCTGAGATCACTGAAGCATGTCCAGCTCTGAACCCTAACAAGGCAATTCTACCTACTTCTAGCACATGAACATCATTTAGAGCTTGCCAGCTGCTATCTCTTTCAGGATTAAATCTCCCTTCTTGTTGATTAGGCTTGAAAGTATATAAAGATCGAGCTTAAACAACATCCTTTCTTAGGAAAATTGTACCACATATTGCAACAGTGACTCCACCACCTCCCCGGGCAACCTATTCCAATGCCTGACCACCCTAACAGTGAAAAACTTTTTTCTAATATGTAACCTGCATCTCCCCTGTCTCAGGTTAAGACCATTTTCTCTAGTCCTCTGACTGTAGGTACAGTATAGTTTGGAGATATTGAGCTGTTGTATACAAGTGGCTGGCTGGCACACAGAGGCTGTGCTACATTTAGGGATTCACTACCCAGCACCCATGCACACATCCATGTAACACAGATCTCTGTGCATCAGGCACAGCGTCACCAGCCAGGCAAGGGAGGGATTATCCCACTCGGCTCTGTACTGGGGTGGCTTCATCTCACGTCCTGGGGGCAGTTCTGAGCACCTCAGTATAAGAATATAAAGCTAATAGAGAGCATCCAAAGGAAGGCAATGAAGATCAAGAAGAGCCTGTGGGGTGGCTTCATCTCACGTCCTGGGGGCAGTTCTGAGCACCTCAGTATAAGAATATAAAGCTAATAGAGAGCATCCAAAGGAGGCAATGAAGATCAAGAAGAGCCTTGAGGGGAAACAGTGTGAGGAGCAGCTCAGGGCACTTGGTCTGTTCAGCCTGGAGGAGATGAGACTGAGTTGCAGTCTACAACCTCTCAGGAAGTAGAGGGGCAGGCACTAATCTTTCCTCACCACTGACCACTAACAGAACCTGAGGGAATGACCTGAAGGACCTTTTTCTAATACCCAACCTAAACCTCCCCTAACACAATTAGGGGAGGTTTAGGTTGGGTATTAGAAAAAGGTCCTTCATCCGGAGGCTGGTTGGGCGCTGGAGAAAGGTCCCCAGGGAAATCGTCACAGCACCAACTTGACAGAGCTCAGGCACATGTGACTCTTGGGGATGGCCCTGTGCAAGGAGTTGGACTTCCATGATCCTTGTGGATCCCTTCCAATTCAGGATATTCTATAAACTCTACCCTGTGTGCAAATCTGCTTCTTGCACGCAGTAGAATCCATATTGGGAGTTCTGGGTACCCAGGTGACATGGCCAAAAGCCTTGACTAGACCATCTTGCTTCCTCTGGCAATGGAGAACTGGATGAGACAGGACTGCAGCAGATACTGATGACCTAATCATGGACTCCATCAAATCCTTTCCAGTCCCAAGGCAGTGAGCAACTCAAAGGTGCAATGCTGCAGAGAGACTCAAGTAAATGCAAAAAGGGGAATAGAATTCTTGGATTGGTAGGTGCACCAGTGTTCCTCTTTCAAATGGTGTATGTTTATCAGTGTAACCAGTCAGGGGGACTAGGGTCATGTAGCTATTGAAGGTCTTGACCTAAGGGTAAAGGAATTGTGTAACTTGAATGTTATTAAATTAAATTATGAGAACATGCCAATGCACAATTCTTCCCCATAGCTGTCTAGGATGCATCCCCAAAAACTGTGTTCAGGAATGTGTTTAGGGGAGAACCAGTGACTAAAGAGAAAATGAAGAGATATTGTCATCACTAGTGGCCATTTTATAAATTGGAGTATGGGGAAAATGTCATTGAAGATTAATATTATTTTACAATGGATGTTGGAAAAGGGGATGAGGTTTTATGTGTAAATGTTAGTTCCCTTCATTCCACACCCCTAAAACAGCAGGGTGGAAATGGATAAAGAGGATACAGCTCAAAAGCACAGAAAAGCAGTGGCGGCAGAGCACCAGCCATTTTTTTTTTCTGGATATGTTCCTTGTACTACTTTTGATTTTTTGAATTGGAAATGATCTGTTGGTTCATAATGAGAGAATCCTGAAGGAATGTATCAGCTTTTGGAAAATATCATGCTGACTCATAACCCTAATTGGTGGGATATGTAGGCTATATTGAACCCCTTTTAATATGGAGAAGAGAATGGTATTAGAGAAGGCAAAAAGGCAGGGGTTGTAGGGTCTGAAGTGGCCCCTCCTTTTGACCTGAATCCATGTGCCATTCATGGACAGGAAGGGTGAACTTAAAGATGGAGGATTTTGATAATTAGTGAAGGGGACTGGAGGAAATTTTGGAGACATCCCTTACAGATCATCTAGTTTCAGTAAAGCTGGGGAATAAAACAACAGATTTTTTGATAGACAGCAAAGGCACACATTCAGTAATAACTGTCAGGAAGGGCTCACCAATAAATGTCCAATAACAATTGTTGGGGCAATGGGGAAAAAAGCTTTCATGGCCAGTCCTACATCCCACAGAGTGTACATCTGGAGATAATACATTGATACAAGAGTAGGTTTTAAATACCTGACTGAAACATTCTTTGACACCATATTTTTCATAAAGTCTTTGTACAGAATTTCACAGGACAGCATACAAGAAGGCATTTTAGTTTCAACAGTTCATCTTTCAGATGCATGAAGTCCATCCCAAAATAAGGTTCAAAAGTTTATACTTGTGCATTTGTTTCTGCAGAAGAGAATTGAGAAAGGAAATAAAAATTAACATTTCAGAGTAAACTTAAAAGGTCGAAAGCATTTAAAAGTTCTAATGGTGGTGGCTTAATAGGAATCTTTCCAATTGTGAACTCCTTTGCTTCAAACTGCTGCCACTCTTCAGCTGACAGTTCGCTCTTGGGTGTGAATAACTTCTCTGAGGCAGGGCTGGAGTTGGTGGCTGCAGCAGACGCTGAGGTGACAGGATGGCCAGAGGCACTGGCGCTCTGTCCAAATAAAGTACCGCTTGAAGGAGAGCCACAAGTGGCTCCGCTGGCACCAAAGGCTCCAAAGGCTGCTGGAGTGGTGCTTGCAGAGTTCACAGCAGAAGCACTGCCAAAGCCTGAGAAGCCAGAAGTCCCAAAGCCACCAGCCGGGGCAGCTGCTTTAAAGGAGAAGGAGGCTGCGGAGGGAGCGGCCGGGCTGCCAAAGCCAACGGACTGGGCTGCGCTAGGAGAGGATGCTGTCCCAAATGCAGGAGGATTTGCAGCAGCAGAAGAGCTCCCAGCAGCAGGGCTGCTCCCAGACGATGTTGAACTGACGAGGCTGGAGCTGGCTTTAAAGGAGAAACTGCTGGCACTGGTACTGCTGCTGCTGCTCACTGGAAAGCCTGCAAGTAGGGAATTGACAAAAAATAGAAGAATTTGTATCCCCGGGATACTAAACCACTGCTGTATTTCAAAGATGCAGCAGCAAACTACAGAAAATGTGTAAAAGTTTTGGCTCTTAAAACAGGAACTTACTTGACAGCCCAAAGCCTGAGGTTTGCTGTCCTCCCATTCCAAAGGCAGGTGCTGCTTGAGAGCCTGTGGTCTTGAAAGCAGAGAGCTGAAAAGATTCCAGAGACATACATGAAAACTAGATTCCAGACCAGGGAACTCTCTCTCAGTAACTAGTTGAAACAAAACCAGAGCTGCCCAGTCCTACTGAACCCAACTCAGGCCATGCTGGACAGTGATCACTCCTCACAACTGCCTGTCCTTGCAGTGCTTTACGTGCTCTAAGGCCATACATGCTCTTCTCTGTCAAACCCTCCAGAAATGCAAATCTGTAACAACTGATCGATTTTTGGCTGTCAGAGAATTATCTGATGCCCTCTGGGAGCTCTCATTCTCACCTCTCACTGTTCCAGGTTGTGCTCCATGACTGCATTTAGGGCACAGCTTTGACTCCCTCTGTTCTCTGTCCTCAGCACATCTGTGTCTGTTACCCTCTCCTGTGGTAAAGCCCAAATCCTGCTTGTCCACCTTCAGCACTGAAGAGACCATGGGCTGGGATCACATCACTCAAACTTCCCTGCCCTCCATGCAGACTGCACTCAAATAGAGCCACTTCCTCTGCCTCATTATTTCACATGGCCTTGAACTCAGGCATTTGCTTCTGAAAAGCCAGCTCCATTTACAAGTGTTTGTCACCATCCCAGGAACAATGATTCTTTCTCTCCTCAAATGGTATCTAAAGGGCTTCTCTCCTACCTGCCCCTCAATTCTGACATTGGCCAAATGCTCCATTTATCCTAAGGTGTCCTGGAGCAGAATTCTGGTCCATTCTGCTGATCCCCACTTGGAAGGGTCAACATCAGCACATTGGAAGAAAAGGTATGTGGCGGATTGTCCTCTTCCGGCTTGCAATGAGAGTATTCCAAAGCTGGGATCCAGCTGCTGCCTTGCTAACATGGAACCATCCCTATGCACGTTTTTCCTCAGTTAACTGAAGGGGTTTACAATAGCACCTGGAATTCACTGATTTCAGGAGTCCAGAGAATATGTCCAGAGAGGTGGCACATCACAATTGCCACATCTCAGAAGTCTTTGTGACCATAATAAACATCTGTGTAAATTACTTCATTAAAAAATGACATCAGGCACAGAGATGTGTTGCCATTTGTGAACACCTACCAAAGCTGCTTTTGCTACTGCATTTAAAGCTTTCAGCTGAATCAGCCAATTTTCCCACTGTTCTGCTGAGTTCAACAGCATCTATCTGAAAAGAGAGAGAAAAAAAGTGCATATTTTTATTATTGGGGAAGACTTTAAAAAAAAGCAGAGTCTGTCAACTGAACTAAACAAAGATATTTACAATTAGAAAATAAACTTCATTAATCCAACAGAGGAATTTTGCTGTCCTTCCACTTTAAGGTGAAAAGATGAATTTTTTGTTATTAATACAAGATTCCTTTAAATACTCTTAGTGTTGCCCTTATATCAAATTTTTATGTCTTTTCATAAAGAGCAATATGAGATTGGACAGTCTGAGCCAGAGATCTCAGGCAAAAAGATGATGGTATGGTAGACCACATGGACCAGCTGCTATTTTGTAATTCTCTTTGGGGCACAGGAATTGAAGGATATTTTGGCATTCTGATCATCTCCTAGAGTTGGGAGATAAATAAGGCAAGAGTTGCCCCCTGAAGATTGGTAACAAGTCTTTTCCCAAAGACTGTCCCCATGAGTCATCATTTTTAAACTGCTTACACATTCCCAATTATACCCTTTGCTGTCATAGTATTCCAGGTGCAGTTCTTCTGAAAGAAGACATCTGAAAAGCCTGCAAGGACAGGAAAAATCAAAAACTTCCAAGAAAACAGACTAATACTTCTAACCACCCTCCATAGTTACAAAGACATGGGCTTTGGTACATTGTTTTGTCCTGAACCAGTTACAGTCAGAGACACGAAGGATTCATTAAAGAACTCCAGAGGTGTAAACACCCCAGATGAATTGGCAAACGCCGGCTCTATGAGCAGGAATAAAGACATGCAACCGCAGCCTTCGGCTCCCCGTTTGGTCCCTGGCCTTCCGAAGCTGCCCAACACCGAAACCGGCGAGAATGGAAACAACACGCAGCTGCTGCACGCTGCTCCTGGCAGCAAAGATGCCCGAGCTGCTTTCCCACGGCCCTGTGGCCCATCCCGCAGTCCTTTAGCTAGAGCTCCTGCGAGTGCCGAACAGCGGCTGCCGCCGACAGCCCCGGCCGAGGCCCGCTCTGCTCCGGAGCTCCCGCCGGCAGCGGCCGCAC